GTGAGTGTGTGTGTGTGTGTGTGTGTGAGAGAGTGAGTGAGTGAGTGTGAGAGTGTGCGTGTATTGTGTGTGAATGAGTGTGAGAGTGTGTGTGTGTGTGTGTGTGTGTGTGTGTGTGAGTTTGTGTGTGAGTGTGAGAGTGAGTGTGTGCGTGTATGAGTGTGAGAGTGAGTGAGTGTGTGTGTGTGTGTGTGTGTGAGAGAGTGAGTGAGTGAGTGTGAGAGTGTGCGTGTATTGTGTGTGAATGAGTGTGAGAGTGTGTGTGTGTGTGTGTGTGTGTGTGTGTGTGAGTTTGTGTGTGAGTGTGAGAGTGAGTGTGTGTGTGTGTGTGTGTGTGAGAGACGTACGCTCAGGATCTGATCTCCTTTCCTCAGCTCTTCGCTCAGATCAGCGGCTCCTCCTGTCAGGATGAAGGAGATGAAGATCCCCTCACCATCCTCACCTCCCACGATATTGAAGCCCAAACCTGTGGAACCCCTGAGAATGACCACTCGCCGCGGCTCCCTGCACACACCCATATAAAAATCATAATAAAGCACAATGCTATTGTGAATTCACAAACGTTACGATTCAATTAAATATATGCGATGCAGGTTTAATATGAGCTTTAATTATTTACATGCGTGTCAGAGTGGCTCTGTTCACAGTAAACGCTGCTCCGCACAAACTCTTATCATTTACATGTGTGGAGCATCTCAAACTCCATCTCTGCATGTTGTTGTGTGTTTGGGTTTATTATAACGTGCATTTCATCAGATTTGTAGGGTAAATCATTTATAAACCTTCACAAACACTGGAGAATACGTCAATATCTCAATATGCTAACTGTTCATCGCGATTTCAAAATAAAAGCTCAAACCCTCTTCTGATGTCCACATATTCTAGAAATTACAGTGGCTGTAGCATTTCTATCGCAAAGAAATGGCCAAATATTAAAGATTAAGTAGACATTTAAAATAAATGATGTTTAGTCAATATTAAACCAGGATTAGTTCGCGCAGTAAAGTGTAAAACAATCGTCAGGCCAATGGCGTCCTCTGCTGGCATTTGTTATAATGCGTAATGCACATTAGCTCCATTGTTTATAATACATTATGTATTTTAACAGTTTTGTTCAATAAAATCATATGATTACTTGCTTTTAATACTTTATTTGAACAAATTATTATTGCCTCATTGCTATTATATATGTATTTTAAGTAATTTTAAAAGCTATTCTTCACTTGGGTCTACTTTTATTACCACAAAAAAATAAATTATAATCATCCGATTACTCGATTAATTGTTAGAATAATCGGCAGATTACTCGATTACCCAAATAATCGTTAGTGACAGCCCTAATATGGATCGATACATCGATCAAATGTCTAACGATACGATGTATCAATGCCATGCGTAAAATATCGATATCTGTAGTATAAATAGGCACCTTATTTTGGCACTGTCCATATTTTCACACAATGTCTATCTATGCATTACCGCCAATGTGTGCATTCTTGTTCAAACTCACATTTGTGACCCTTGACCACAAAACCAGTCATAAGGGTCAGTTTTTTTAAATTGAGATTTATACATCATCCAAAAGTCCAAAATGCTTATCATTACGAATATCGTAGTAAACGCAGTCGGTTAGGCCTATGTCTTAACGTATACAGTTGAGAAAGAAAACGCATGTGCATCCTCTTCCTCTTAAAGTGAAAGCAGGCTAATAATAAACCTGCTGCTGTCAAAGAAAAAGAAGTGCTCACTGCTCCTAGATAAATAACTTGTGACATTAATAATAATTTCTATATTTCATTTATACAGTGAAATCTATGCAGTTATTTTACATTTGATTATTACATTTCTGTACATAGCACTGAGCCAAAAAAAGTCTTTATTTTTGTAATATTTTATATTTATGTTTCAACATGAATGTATTTGTTCTTACAACTGGAGTACCTCGTTTTGTTGTTTCCTAATGAGGATTATTTTACACACTGAAGCCTAAAATACTTTCTTGACTGTTGTCATGTCATAAGATTACCGATCTCAAGTGTGACTTTGTTTCCCCCTCCCAAATTATTTAATTTTCTTTATTATTTAAAAAAAATGTGTAGGCCTGTGTAGCGTATTTCTTTGTTGTGAACGTCCCAGTTGAAGTACAGGATGTGGAAATGTCAGATAAATGTTCATGTTATATATTTTGGTTGCATTTGTGAGTTAATAAAAATGTAGATGGTTGTTTAAAATAGATATATAATATCATATCGATATATCGATCAATATACTCCTGTATCGAATCGAATCGTAATCGTATCGTATAATTTTTTGAGGTATCGGCAAATATCGTATCGCTGGGTATGATAATCGATATTGTATCGTACCGTGACGAACCATCCGATTTACACCCCTACTGTCTAGATCTGCTCAACATCAATCCTGCACTCCATTATTATCTATAAAATGCTGTTCTACAAACCTGATGAAGAAACAAACTCATCCTGATCTCAGATGTTCAAACTCACAGTGAGGATTTTGTCTCCGATCTGCAGTCGTCCATCTCTATGCGCGGCTCCTCCTTCGATGATCTTGGTGACGTAGATGCTGTTGTCTGCGGGGACGTGTTGGTTCCCCACGCCGCCCGCGATGCTGAAGCCCAGACCTGCGGCAGAGGCTCAGCCAATCAGAAGAGCTGAAGGTCAGCCCCGCCCCCTCCCTCCCTCCCTCGCTCGCTCACTCACCTTTAGGGCCCTTGATGAGCTTCAGCTCTGTGATGTTCTCCGCAGGCGGTTTGTGTCGCAGCACATAGAGCCGCACGATCGGCCCCGCCTCCTTCAGCGCCTCCACCGCTAAACTGTGAGTGACCTCACGCACATCCACGTCATTCACGAACAGAATGCTGTCGTTCACCCTGAAACACAGACGGGTTACACTCACTGATCCTGAGAACACATCAGGCTCTTCTACAAACACTCAGGACCAATGAGATCATTTCCACTGCACATTCAGTTTCATTACACACACAAAAAGGTGTAGGATTTAGGGAAGGGTGATATGGGCTTAAAAATATATCACGATCATTTCTGGTATGTATTGCGATAACAATATCAATGACGATAGTCAGCATCCACTAAGAGACAAAAAAAATCCTGTTTCTTTAGAGAAAAGTACTATCTTTCCTATTTTTACCCTGGTGTTGTGAGCATTACTGAGTACACACGTGAAGTAACGAGTCTTTAATTCACACTGGAAGCCAGAGGGCGCTCTTGCGCAGAAACTACACACATGCATCGCAGAAGTAATAGCACTGACAACGCTCCAGGAAATCCCTAATATGGACAAAGGCATCCAGTTATCGCTGAATAAAACACACAATGGAGAGAGAGAAATTTGAACTGATGAAACTTTAAGACAATAAACATACGATTGCGACAATATATGGTTTATCTGTGTGCTTCAAGCAATCTTGGGTATTTTTTATAAGGATAAAGTATGTTTATAATGCAATGCTAATTGACATAGCCTTTATCACGGTATATAATATTATAAAATATTATGATTTCCCTATTCTGTGATAAGAAACCACGTCTGATCACAAAGTTATTTCAAACACTCGACTGATGTTATGAAGTTAATTTGGAGAAAAAGCATGTCAGTAAATAATATCTTTGTTGGAGTACAGGTTTGTAAACAGACTCATGCACATGCAAAACTGTGCTACTGTACTACATTTATTCAGACTGATGTTTTGTGCACTGTACAGTCCTGATCAAACCAGTTCCAGATTATAGAAGGAGCTCCTCATTTAGCGATAAACTCCTCAATTTCACATCCGCCTTCTGCGATGTCTCTCCGCTCTGTCGCACACAGAAATATGTCAACAACTAGACTTTATCGTTATTATCGCGGGAAGACTAATTCTTGCACGTAAAGTTTTATAAGTAATTACAAAGAATCAGCAAGTAAAACATGAAACTTTTAAGTATAAAGACTAATTGGTCTTGTAAAATGTACACAATAATCTGTTTATATCTTAGATTTTTTTTTTTTTTACAGTGTACTTAAATAAAATGAATCAAATCTCATTCTCATTAGCTGATAAACTCATGAAGCAGTATTTAAATTAGTACATTTGTAAAATGCAATAGTGAAAATACACTTAGCATCTGTCATAGTGAATATTATATGTGCTGGTTTTAATTAAAAATAATAAATAATACATTGAGACTCCTTTGGGATTAAAGGCTTTAATTAATAAAACGATAAAAAATAAAGTGAAAAAAATTCCTTTAGCTTAAAGAAAATGCCTATTTTTCTAACATTGTTTTCATAACAAAGATATTGCAAAGAAATAGACTTCATTTTCTTTAAGCAAAATATTTTTCTCTTCATTTATTTAATAATTAACTAAATAATATTTATTAACCAGTTAACTAATTAATTCATTATGTTTCTGGGGTGAAACGTGACCGGGATGCTTCCTTGTGATCTTCAGGACACCCAGAAATCAAATATAGATCATGACCAAACACATTTTACAGGCGTGACATACTGACACAAGTGTGTTATAGGGCTGTCAAAAAAATTTGAATTTACAATATTCGTCGAATTTTAAATAAGAATCCACATGCGAATGCAAAAACGTTGCACAAAGAGAGCGGCATGTTTAGAAAGCCATGTAAAATTAATGAAAGTTCAACTTTTAAAAAACATGTCTGGAGACTTTATGGTGGTTTTTCTGCTGTTTTTAAATGAAGAAAGCTCTCTTTGTGATTGGTTTTCGGTTCTTTGTATTAAACTATACGTACATACATGATGCTGTTTTGTTTCTAATTGTTAAGCAACTTAATTAATTATATATGGTTTATTAACATTATTTTAAACATTATGCACTTTTATTGCTTTGAATAAACGTGCATTAGTAATATTTTGTTCGATGCGCCCTCTTGTGGCCTCAGGAGAGAAGCCAAAAGCTTTTTTTCTCCCCTAACTGAAATTATGCCTTTTAAATTCAAGTATAATTTGAATATTGATAATATTTAAGTACAAAATTTGAATGTAGTTTTTGAACACCACAGGTGTGTTCTGTACCTGAGCCGTCCGTCCTGTGCCGCGGCTCCTCCTGGGATGATCTTAGTGATGAAGATACTAGGATCCTCTCCTATGTGAGGGTTATCAGTCCCACCGGCGATACTGAAGCCCAGGCCGGAGTTACCCTACACACACACACGCACACGCACACACACACACAGACACACACACACACACACACACACACGCTGATGCTCATGCACTAGCACTCTCATATGATGCATTTGAGAAGAGCTGAAAGGAAGAGAGGTCTCTAACCCTCTCCAGTGTGATCTCCTCATACTCCACGTCTCCGTCCATCCCGTTCATCTTAGAGACAGAGAGAAACATCATTCATCAGTATCATTAGTTTCTAAGCACAGTTCAGTACATGATCACCTGAACTCAAAGTAATCTCAGGTGATGCTCAAACAGCTTCATCACAACTCAAAGCTGAACAACTGAGCATCAGAGTGTCTGTCCTGAACAGCTGTGCTTCATCAGCATCAAATCAGACCGATTTAACAGCCAATCACTGATGGGGGCGGGGCTTGATGTAATCCGTGACGACTGATTGGACAGGGAAAGTGTCTCTGTATGAAGGCAGATTAAACATAGGAGGAGCTGAAGAATAACTTACTGTATTGTGACAGAAGTAGATGAGTTTGTCTCTTCATCAGGTTTGTAGAAATATAGCACTGCATCAGCGTCTCAGCAATGGATGCTCTGCAGTGAATGGGTGCCGTCAGAATGAGAGCCCAAACAGCTGATAAAAACATCACAATAATCCACAGCACTCCACCCATTCACTTGCAGTGAGACACTGATGCAATGCTACATTTCTACAAACCTGATGAAGAAACAAACTCATCCTGATCTCTGATGATCTGAGAGTGAGCACATTTTCATTTAAACTATGCCTTTAAATCATCAGTCATCAGGGTTTTTCATCAACAGCATCTTGAAACCACTGAAGAACCGACGCTCATTAAAGACTCGCACCCAAACGACCTGAGAGAGACACACTGGGTAATTAACATCCTGTCTGTTTCAGTAACAGAGCTGAAGAACTTTAATTAAAGTCGTTTGATGAGTTCCAGCGCTGGAGGGCCTGCAGCCATCACACCCACCCCCCCCACACAGACACACACACACACCACACACAGACACACACACAGACACACACACTCACACACACACACACACACAGACACACACA